GGGTGGTCCTGAACTCACTGCCACACACTCTGCTCCCTCCAGACCCCCCTCTGGCTTCTGGGAGACAGACTTCAAAAAGTGCCTGGCTTGGGCGTAAGATGGCCTAGGACTCCTCCACCCCCAACCTCATCCGGCCCGGCCCCGGGGATGGGAGGCTCAGGCCCCCTTCTGTTCTTGCTTGCATGAAACCACCCTGGAAGAGCATTTCCAGATGTGCCTGTGAGCCACTGTGTTGGGGGCACCCAGGTGCGGCCCACATGCCCTGTCGGGTCCGCGTGGGGGGCGCCGACAATCCTCTAAGTGGGACCTCACTCCCCCCGTCAGCCCCGCTTTACACACAGAGAGAAACTGAGGCTGGCACACAACTCAAAAGCTGTGTTCAGAGGCCCCCACCAGAAGGGGGTCGGTCATCTGGGTCCTGGCTGCAGCTTTCAAGCTGAGGTGCTTGGTCCCCTGCACTCACATCTGCGACCAGGCCTCAGTTTCCCCATCTGTAAAATGACGACTTGGGAGGATGCAAGGAGCGTGGGAGGCGGTGGGCAGCGTATTAAAAGCGGGGGCGGGGACCCCAGTATCCCTGCCTGAGCACTGGGGTGCGGGGGAAAACTCCTGGTTCGGAGGCCTAGGGCTGCGGAGGGCCCCCTCCCCTGGAAACGCGCCCCAGGCCAGGAGGGGCGCTCAGCGCCCCGCCCTCCGCGACGCCTCCTGGGGGACGGTCCTGGCAGCCCCAGACCCGCGCCTGGCGAGGACGGAGCAACCCCCTCCGGCCTTCCCAGAAGCGCGCGCGCATCGCACAGACGCCAGCCAGCGGCGAGGGGGCGCGGCCCTGGGCCGTGCAGCCTCGGCCGGACCCCGATTCTCGGCGGGGACCCCGGCCCCGCCCCTCTCCCCACCCCAGCGCAGGCGCCCCCCGGGAGCCCGCGCGCCCGGACTCCGACCGACCCCGACCCGGGACGGCGTCCCCGTCTCCGGCCGGCAGGGGGCGCGCGGGGACGGGGCCCCGAGAACTCCGCGCGGCCCCGCGCCCAGTCCCACGCGCGTCTCCTGTGTCCGCAGATTCGTGCGACGGGGTGGAGTGCGGCCCGGGCAAGGCGTGCCGCCTGCTGGGGGGCCGCCCGCGCTGCGAGTGCACCCCCGACTGCGCGGGGCTCCCGGCGCGCCTGCAGGTCTGCGGCTCGGACGGCGCCACCTACCGCGACGAGTGCGAACTGCGCGCCGCGCGCTGCCGCGGCCACCCGGACCTGCGCGTCATGTACCGGGGCCGCTGCCGCAGTACGTGGGGGCGGGGGCGGGGGCGGGGCCGGGGCGGGGCCGCCGGGCCTGCGCGTCGCGTCCCCGGGCTGCCGCCGCAGTGCGCGGGGGCGGGGCCGGCTGGAGGGGCGTGGCCTCTGGCCGAGGGCAGGCCACGTGGGTTGGGGTGGGGCCTGATTAAGGATGAAGGGCGCTTTTATGCTTCCGAGGGGCCTCTGGGGCTCACGTTGGGCAGGAGAAACGTGGTATGATTAGAGTGGGAGCATGACTCAGAGAAGGGCTCGTGGGGGAAACCGGAGAGGCCAGATGGAACCGCGGGTGAGGCTGTAAGGGCGGGGCTCTTGGCAGGGGCGTGGTTCCTGGGTGGAGACGGGCGGTGTCTGTGGGTGGAGCTTTAGTGGGCGGGGCTCGAGGAGGGCGGGCTTTTGGGTGACGCAAGGGGCAGGGCTCATGAAAGAGGTGTGGCTCCTGCGTTCAACGGGAGGGGGCAGCGCTTGTGGGTGAAGGCTGATGTGTGGGCGGAGCTGGTTGGAGGGGCGGGGCTTTGTGGTTGATAAGGGGTGGAGCTTATGGCTAACGTGCTACAGTAGATGGGCCTTCTGGAAGGGGAGTGACGCCTGGGTACGATCGAGGGGCGGGGCTTGTTGCTAACAAGGGGCTGGGACTCCTGGGTACAATGGGTGGAGCCTGTTGTGGGCGGGGCTTTGTCGGTGGTGAGCGGGTGGGGCCTATGGCTAATGCAAGGGATGGGGCTTCTGGAAGGGGAGTGACTCCTGGGTACAATCGGGGGCGGGGCTCTTGAAAGGGGTGTGGCTCCTGAGTACAACCGGAGGGGCAGGGGCTTGTGGGTGGAGCCCGAGGGGGTCGGGTGGCGTGGGGCGGGGCTGCTTACGGAAGAGCGGGGCTTGTGTCTCCCACCAGAGGGTTCTTGAAACTTGAGGGTCAAGGGCTGGTCTTGGGGCCAACAGCCCTTCGGGGTTCTCAGCGAGATGCCCCCCGAACCGCCCCTGGCACTTGGCCTGCAGAGTCCTGTGATCGTGTGGTGTGCTCACGGCCGCAGTCGTGCGTCGTGGACCAGACTGGCAGTGCCCACTGCGTGGTGTGTCGGGCGGCACCCTGCCCTGTGCCTGCCGGCCCCGGCCAGGAGCTCTGTGGCAACAACAACGTCACCTACATCTCCTCGTGCCACCTGCGCCAGGCCACCTGCTTTCTGGGCCGCTCCATCGGCGTGCGCCACTCGGGCAGCTGCACAGGTGCAGACGCAGGGCGGGGGAGACAGGCCTGTCCTGGGGAACAGAGAGCCCCCTGCCCTGCGCCCTCATTGCTCTTATTGACACTTGCAGGTACCTTTGTAGGCACCCCTCAGGAGCCCCCAGATGGTGAATCGGAGGAGGAGGAAGAGAACTTCGTGTGAGCCTGCAGGACAGGCCTGGGCCTGGCGCCCAAGGCCCCCCACCACCCCCTGTTATTTATTGCCACAGCAGAGTCTAATTTATATCCCACGGACACTCCCTAAACCTGGATTCAGACCACTTGGGGATCCCAAAACCCCCTGACGATATCCTGGAAGGATTGAGGAATGGAGGCCTGGGGCCAGCTGGTGGGTGGGATGGACCTTCGTCCCAGGCACTGAGGGCTCGATTAAACCCCTATCCTGAGTCCTATTGCCAGGGAGGACCCCACACTTCTGCTCCTTTGGGGATAAACCTATTAATTACTGCTACCTTCAAGAGGGCTGGGCATTCCCTACTGGTAATTCCTGAAGAGGCATGACTGCTTTTCTCAGCCCCAAGCCTCCTAGAACAGGGGCCTTGGGCTCGGGCCAGGAGGGGCAGAGGAGATTAGCCTGGGTGTGAATGGATGGTCTAGCCTGGGTGAGTGCAGATGGTCTAGCTTGAGTGTGAATGAATGGTCTAGCCTGGGTATGAAAGGATGATCTAGCCTGGGTGAGTGCAGATGGTCTAACTTGAGTGTGAATGAATGGTCTAGCTTGGGTGTGAATGAATGGTCTAGCTTGAGTGTGAATGAATGGTCTAGCCTGGGTGTGAACAGGTGGTCTAGCTTGGGTGTGAATGGATGGTCTAGTCTGGGTGAGTACAGATGGTCTAGCTTGAGTGTGAATGAATGGTCTAGCCTGGGTGTGAATGAATGGTCTAGTCTGGATGTGTACAGATGGTCTAGCCTGGGTGTGAACAGATGGTCTAGCCTGGGTGAATACAGATGGTCTAGCCTGAGTGTGAATGAATGGTCAAGCCTGGATGTGTACAGATAGTCTAGCCTGGGTGGGTACAGATAGTCTAACTTGAGTGAATACAGATGGTCTGGCCTGGGTGTGTATGGATGGTCTGGACAGGGTGTGAATGGATGGTCTAACTTAAGTGAATACAGATGGTGTAGCCTGGGTGTGAATGGATGGTCTAGCCTGGGTGTGTACGGATGGTCTGGACTGGATGTGTATAGATGGTCTGGACTGGGTGTGAACAGATGGTCTAACCTAAGTGAATACAGATGATCTAGCCTGGGTGTGTATGGACAGTCTAGCCTGGGTGTGAATGGACGGTCTAGCCTGGGTGTGAATGGATGGTCTAACCTGGGTGTGAATGGACGGTCTAACCTGGGTGTGAATGGACGGTCTGGCCTGGGTGTGTGTGGACGGTCTGGCCTGGGTGTGAGTGGACGGTCTGGCCTGGGTGTGTGTGGACGGTCTGGCCTGGGTGTGAGTGGACGGTCTGGCCTGGGTGTGTGTGGACGGTCTGGCCTGGGTGTGAGTGGACGGTGTGGCCTGGGTGTGAGTGGACGGTCTGGCCTGGGTGTGTGTGGACGGTGTGTCCTGGGTGTGAGTGGACGGTCTAGCCTGGGTGTGAGTGGATGGTCTAGCCTGGGTGTGTGTGGATGGTCTGGCCTGGGTGTGAATGGATGGTCTAGCCTGGGTGTGAGTGGATGGTCTAGCCTGGGTGTGTGGACGGTCTAGCCTGGGTGTGAATGGACGGTCTAGCCTGGGTGTGTACGGATGGACCTCAGAACATTGTGGCCTTGCCCAGCAGGAGAGACCCTTCATGAAGGCCAGGAAGGCTGCCACTGTCCCCTCCTCCCAGCCCTTGAACTCCAACTTCCCCTCTGCCTCTGTGTGCCCCTTTGCGTACTGTGAAGGCCACTGAGAAACACCCAGCGTGCTCCTGACACGGGCCATGCTCAGCCACAGAACCGCCTAGCGCCTTCCCCGCTGCGGTCCACATCAGTCTATGGGGCGATATCACATGGTCTCAGACGTGGATCAGCCAGCAGCAGCTCAGAGCAGGGCACCATGTCTAGCGGGGCCCCGTCCACTGTTGGGGGGGGTCTCTGGGAGGGGCCTCGGGCCCCTGCTCACCCACCGGCCCCGAGAGGGGTGTAGGCACCAAGACTCACACATGCAGCATCCCGGAGTCCTGGAGCCGGGGGTCCCAGCACCACCCACAGGTGCCTGCGGCCTCCACACCAGCGTTTACACACAGGGCTCCTGGGTCCCGCCCAGCCAGGCCTGCAGACCCAGTCTCCAGCCAGACCTGCCTCACCCACCGGCGTAGCTGGAGCTGGCGACACCAGCCAGGTGCTGGTCATGGCCCAGCTCCCCCTCGACGGCTCACCCTCCCCTCGATCTGGGCTGACGCTCAGAATCCCCCACCTGTGCCTGTTTGTAGACCAGAACCTCAAACCAGCTATGGGGCAGGGACAACGTGGAGGAAACCCCACTCCCCCTTCGGGGGTGAGGGGTGCGGGAAGCTTACTCATCCTCCTGCAGCCCCCCCCAGGCAGTGCCTTACCTGTGGTACCCAGGAAAGTGCCCCTGGGCTGGGGGGTCTATGGGAGCCTCCGACCAGGCTGCCCTCCCCACCCTGGGGCACTGCCTCGCCAAAGAAATAAAGACTCAAAGAAACCACTTCAAGGGTCCAGGCCTTAGTCTGTCTCCTCTCTCGGGGCTTCAAGCCGCCCCCCGCTCAGGCTATGGGGTTGGCAGCCTGGGGCCTGGGGTGCTGCAAGGGGCTCCAGAGGCACCCGGAAGAGAGACCCTGGAGACCCGGTGCTTTTCCTGCGACAGCCTCTGGCCCCTTTGGGTCTCACTGCCCCTCCAGGCAGTAGATGAGCTCAGGAGGGGTGGTGCGGGAAAGGAGGGAGAATAAAGAGGCACTTTGGGAGGGGTGCACAGGACGGTCAGGATGGCTTAGGGCAGCCCCAAGAAACCAGCTGGCGTGGGGCCCAGAAATGGAGGCTGGGCCTGGAAGCACTCGAGTGTAGCAACAGCAGGAATAATAACAGGATTAGGGCCGGGCTGCAGCTCGCCCAAGTATTCCCAGAGCTTTGGGAGGCTGAGGTGGGAGGATCGCTTGAGGACAGGAGTTCCAGATCAGCCTGGGCAACATAGTGAGACCCCATCTCTACAAAAAAAAAAAAAAAGAAAAATGAGCCAGGCATGGGAGCATGCCCCTGTAGGCCTAGCTACTCAGGAGGCTGAGGTGGGAGGAGGGCTTGAGCCCAGGGTGTCAGGCTGCAGTGAGCTGTGATCGCACCACCGCACTCCAGCCTGGGTGACCACGTGAGACACTGTTTCTAAAATAATAATAACACAATCGGCCGGGCGCGGTGGCTCACGCCTATAATCCCAGCACTTTGGGAGACCCAGGCGGGTGGATCATGAGGTAGGGAGTTTGAGATCAGCCTGGCCAATATGGTGAAACCCCCTCTCTACTAAAACTACAAAACGTGGCCGGGTGTGGTGGCGGGTGCCTGGAATCCCAGCTGCTCCGAAGGCTGAGGTGGGAGAATCGCCAGAACCCGGGAGGTGGAGGGTTGTAGTGAACTGAGAGCCGAGATCGCACCACTGCCGTCCAGCCTGGGCTGGATGTTATTATCATTATTTATAATGATAAATATAACGTTAGAATAATAACGTTATTATCATTATTTCTGTCTCGAAATAATGATCATAACAATAAAATCTAAAAATAAAATAAAATAACACAATAACCAGCAGTGACAATAACATCAGCTGGGACTTGGTGTGTGCCCGGCGGCCTTCTCTGTGGTTTTTGGAGGATGAACGCCAGGTCTCATGGGAGGCCAGGCCCCGCGGGATTCCACCGTGTGGCCCTCTCGGCCCCCACACCCTGCAGAGGAGCCCACTCGTGGAGAACGGGGCATCGGCAGAGGCTTCGGAGTGTGGGTTGCAGGGCAGGGGTGTGGAGGGAGACCCAAAGGGGTTCATGGTGGGGGACGTAGGAGGGTGTGGACCAGGAGACACCCCAGGCCCAGAAGTGGGACGGGGGAGGCCGGATGTCGCTTAACATTTTACTCTGTTCCGTGCAGTCCTTTGTATGCGGAAGGGGTGCCCCCACCCGTCCCCCACCCCACCCCAGCCCTGCACGTCAGGTTTTCGGGTGTCTGCAGCCCCACGGAACCCCCACCCCGGCCACAGAACAGTCCAGGCCCAGAGCGGCGATATCATCTGCATGTCGCAAGGCAGCGGCTCAGGGGGCTCCTTCCCAGGGCCTGGCAGTCCCAGGCAGGGGGCCGGGCCAGGGGCCATCGCGCCCAACCACGTCCCAGATCCAGGCCACAAAGGCGGACACCTGCGTGTACACGTCGGGGGTCCTGGGGTCGCCGCACCAGAGGCCCGAGAAGGACACGAGGCCGTGGGCCCGGTTTCTGCACACCAGGGGCCCCCCCGAGTCAGCCTGGAGTGAAAGGAGAGGTGAGTCAGGGCCTCGGGAGCTGCTGCAGACACAGCTGACCATGGCCCTCCCTGCCTCGGAGCGCTCTGTAGCTCCCTAGTGCTCTCTGAGCAGAAAGTGAACTCACTTCCACCTTCAGGCCCTGAGGACGCAGCCCCCACCCACTCCCCTGCCCTCCCCCACCAGCCTCCTCAGTGACCCCCGCCTGGGTATAGCTGGGAGACCTGTTCCCGCCTTGTTCTGGATGCTGCCGGTGTCAACGGTCCAAGTCTGCAGCGCTTTGGCAGCGCGCAGCACACACAGCTGTACACGGCAGCCCTCCGCTCACGGGTCCCTCTGCCTTGCCTGTGTTTTCTCCGATCTTCTAAGGATTCCTTCAAGTCTCAGCTCAAAGGTGCTGTCCTTGGAGAGGGCTCCCCAAATACTCACCCCAAACCCCCCCATCCTACACTCCTAACTGGCATCTGGAGTCAGCTCCGACACTATCACTTAGCGTGGGCAGTTTACAAATGGTGAAAAGGAGGCCCAGAGGAGTCGGGTGACTTTTCCAAGGTCACACAGCAGGAGAGTGGACAGTCTCCTTCCTCCTGGGCTTGTGCTGCCTGGCTCCAGAGCGTGTGTCCTGAACCAAGTCTCTCTCTTGCCTGCGGTGAAAGACCCTCCAGGCCCGGTGTCTGCCTTGGCACTGGGGGTTCGTTTATCCGACAGGGTTTTAGGAGTGGGAGCTGCTTCCTGTCAATGTTACTGCCCTCTACTGAACACTGTGTAAATACAGAAGCGCGTGGTAGTCTGTGCAGTGCACACCCTGCACAGCCGGACATGGGAGCCCTGCGTGACCCTCGCCAACTCCCTGCTCTTCCTGGGCCTCGGCTTCTGGGTCTGGTCCAACGTCCGTGGGACTCAGCTCCCAAGGCCCTTCCTGGCCCTGCCCCTCTCTGCAGGCCTTGGCTTCCCCGTACGGTAAGCGGGTGGAGCTGGCAGGGGATCTTACCGAGCAGAAGCCCCGCCTGTGGCCGTCCCCGCTGTGGGTGCAGAACATGGCGTGGCTCAGGAGACCCCTCCAGGAGCTGTTGCAGGCGTCCAGCCCCAGCACTCGGACATCGGCCTCCATCAGGCCGGGTGGCGGCTCCTCAAAGTCGGACACGAAGCCCCAGCCGGCCACCCGGCACCGTGTTCCGGCCGCGGGGGGTCGGGCCCCTCTCCTCGGCAGCCCCAGCAGCCCCACTGCAGGGCCCAGGATGGCAGAGCCGTTCAGCTGCACAGAGAGCACAAGTTCGGGCCACCCCTGCTCCAGCCTGCCTCAGTTTATCCCTGTGACCCCCGGTCCTGCCCTTGTGAAGATAAATCAATGGCAGCCACCGTGAGGCTGGGTTAGGAGGCCCTGCTCCTTCCGTCAACACAGCACCAGCCCTCAGGCCTCCAGACTCACCCTTCGGCTCCCCAAAGGGTCTGTCCTTTTTTTTTTTTGAGACGGAGTCACTGTCACCCAGGCTGGAGCGCACCTCTGCCTCCTGGGTTCAAGTGATTCTCACAGGCGTGTGCCACCATGCTGGGCTAATTTTTGTATCTTTAGTGGAAATGGGGGTTTTGCCATGTGGCTCAGGCTGGTCACCATCTGCTCACCTCAGCCCCCGCAAAGTGCTGGGATTCCAGGGGTGAGCCACCGCACCCAGCAGTGCCTTTAAAAAGTAGGTTCTTGGCCAGGCGTGGTGGCTCACGCCTGCAATCCCAGCACTTTGGGAGGCCGAGGCGGGTGGATCACGAGGTCAAGAGATCGAGACCATCCTGGTCAACATGGTGAAACCCCGTCTCTACTAAAAATACAAAAAATTAGCTGGGCATGGTGGCGTGTGCCTGTAATCCCAGCTACTCGGGAGGCTGAGGCAGGAGAATTGCCTGAACCCAGGAGGCGGAGGTTGCAGTGAGCTGGGACTGCGCCATTGCACTCCAGCCTGGGCGACAGAGGGAGATTCTGTCTGAAAAAACAGATGTATGTCACCCACCGGCCACCCCAGCCCCGGGGCTCACCCGCAGCAGACAGATGTCGTTGGCGTGGGTCACAGGATGGTAGTCAGGGTGCCTGGTGACAGTGTCAATGCTGAACACCTGCTGGGTGGGCTCTGCGGCACGCAGGTCATGAGCGCCCAGCACCACTAGGCCCGTTCGGAGGTCTCTGTGGGGAGGAGGGGCCGGGGGAGACGGGGGTGAGGGCTGCCCATCCTGGGCTGCAGTCCCCGCCTGCATGAAATGGAGGCCCAGCCATCCACTAGGTGATAATATTAGGTTGGTGCAAAAATGATCACACAAAAAAATTAAATGGCAAAAACTACAATTAACCAACTGAATATTCTTTTTCTTTCTTTCTTTTTCTTTTTTTTTTTTTTTTTTTTTTTTTTTTTTTTTTTTGAGACGGAGTTTCGCTCTTGTTACCCAGGCTGGAGTGCAATGGCGCGATCTCGGCTCACCGCAACCTCCGCCTCCCGGGTTCAGGCAATTCTCCTGCCTCAGCCTCCTGAGTAGCTGGGATTACAGGCACGTGCCACCATGCCCAGCTAATTTTTTGTATTTTTAGTAGAGACGGGGTTTCACCATGTCGACCAGGTTGGTCTCGATCTCTCGACCTTGTGATCCACCCGCCTCGGCCTCCCAAAGTGCTGGGATTACAGGCGTGACCCACCGCACCCGGCCCTCTTTTTCTTTTTTTGAGACAGAGTCTCACTCTGTTCCCCAGGCTGGAGTGTGACCTCAGCTCACTGCAACCTCCGCATCCTGGGTTCAAGTGATTCTCCTGCCTCAGTCCTCCAAGCAGCTAGGACTACAGGCAGGAGAATCGCTTGAATCTGGCAGGTGGAAGTTACGGTGAGCTGAGATTGCACCACTGCACTCCAGCCGTTAGAAGATGTCCCTCTTGGCTGGGTGCGGTGGCTCATGCCTGTAATCCCAGCACTTTGGGAGACTGAGGCGGGTGGATCACGAGGTCAAGAGATTGAGACCATCCTGGCCAATGCAGTGAGATGCCATATCTGCTAAAATACAAAAATTAGCTGGGTGTGGTGGCGCGTGCCTGTACTCCCAGCTGCTCGGGAGGCTGAGGCAGGAGAATCGCTTGAACCAGGAGGTAGACGTTTCGGTGAGCCGAGATCACGCCACTGCACTCAGCCTGGCGCCTGGCGACACAGTGAGACTCTGCCTCTCAGAAAAAAAGAAAAAA